GGTTTTAAATGGTGATATTGGATATGTAATATCTCACCTATGTAAGTTTTGAATAAAATATTTATTTTGAGATTGAACATCTCTTTAGAAATAATTGTATTGGGCTATCGGTGGAGGATAGCTATGATTGTTGTAGAAATTACATGAGGATTAGGCGATTTAATGTTAATCCATTGTTGGTGTCATTGTATATGACCATGTTATAAATACATTGTATATGTATGTTTATTGGGAGGAGAAAGGGGATGTACTCCATATATGACTATATTATAAATACATTATATATGTATGTTTATTGGGAGGAGAAAGGGGATGTACTCCATATGTGATTATGTTTATTGTACGAGCACGAAATAACGTTCTCGTATGATCCTGTTGACCAAGTTTGCGCTCCTTCAAACGTCGTCGCTCCTCTAAACGTCGTCGCTTTACTCCCTGAAAACACAAACGTGAGCTAGCCGGCGGGTGTGTGCCGGATACCTCTCCGATGCCTAAGTCAGCAAAATAGACAAATAGACAAAAGCTTTGTGTATTCGAGAATCAAAGTTTTGTTACCTCTACATAAGTTATGTTGTGAGCTTTTATAGGTTCCGTATAGCACAATCCTAGTAGGATTCTTATTCCTCCATGTAGAGTCCTCCTAGGAATCACACTCCTGAAAGATAATGCTTATCCTTTAACACCCCCCTCACTGCTTAAACCAAGTGAGATGGTTTTACCACGGTTGGATGACAGTACGACCGAGCTAACACTAGCCCTTTGTCATACTTAATCCAATGTCTTCACATGCAACTTATAGCTCGGTTCTCCTTTCATTTGTACCTCGGTTTCGTCTGTTGAGACCAAACTAACAATAACAAGCTTGGACCGAGCTAACAAGAGCAAGGTCCTTCTAAAGAAAGCCCAAAACATCTCGGCTCCGAATGTAATGACCGAGCTAATTATCACCGCTCTGACCGTCGTGCCCGTACCATATTTGGACCGAGCTAACTACAAGGTCCTCTTCACTCAGCCCTTTTTATCTCGGCCCATAGAACGGCCCATTACTGCGCCTTGGCCTAACTCGGCCCTAATGCACACAAAAACTCCCTCTCATTTATAACTACATTGCAAATATATATTTGTTTGGGAGGAGAAAGGGGATAGACTCCATTTTAAAGCAAGTTGGCCAAAGTGTCTTGGGTGAAAGACTCGAAATTTCATATGTAAATGGGTGCTGGTTCCTTCGAACGAAATATTTGTAAAATGGCAGGTTTGAAGTGTTTATGTGTGTTTTGCATAGTTGGAAAACCATTGAGTTGTAGTCTCATTTTGGTTGTTGAAAGATAATGAATTTAACTCATGAATTGAGTAGCATATATGAACTGGAAATGAATTGAAGGAAAATGGAATAAGATTGGTCTTAGTGGCATATGAATATGCAGGCCTTGTGAATACTTCCGTATCGATATTGTTTATGTACATGGTATTTATACCTTTGCTAAACCTTATAAATTGTGTAAGATTATCTCTACTGGGCTGTTGGCTTACCCTATATGGGAATATCATTTTCAGGTGTAGGTGAGATGTTACCTCCAAGGCAATAGCATGGATGGATTTTTGGGAAGCAAGAGCTTCTTATTTATGCTTTATGTGTGTGTGTTTGTTATTTATAAAGCCAAGGGCTTAATATGTAATGAGCGAGACTCAATTTGTGTAACCAAGCAATGACTTGGAAAGATGTAAGCCTACATGGCATTTAACTGGTTATTAAACAGTGAACTCTGATATATGAAAGTATGTTGTTTCTCATATTTATTCCGCATATGAGTTATGTTTATTGTATTATTTTGGGGGCGTTACACTCTCTCTCATATTCCCTCACTGTCAGTGAGTCACTGTTGCTAGCTGTCGGTCAGTCACCGTCGCTTACCGTCTCCTCGGTTCCCATTGATGTTCAGGTCTCTCTCTCTCTCTCTCTCTCTCTCTCTCTCTCTCTCTCTTTCTTTATTTTCCCATTTCACTCTAGAGCTATGGTTTTTTTTTGTTGATGTTATAGGATTTTCATTTTTGTGAAATGAGTACATGAGTTTTGATTTTTGTTCTAGATTTAGGGTTTTTTGAACTAATTATTGGTGATAGATGAGATGATTTATTCTGTGAAATGATTTAGGGTTTTTGAATTTCAAGTTGAAGATATATTGAACAAACAAAACGGATTGTTGTTTTAATTATACAAAATTTTCTGTTGATTCTTAATATTAACTCCAATACTAATTTAACAATGATTTTTTCTCATTACTAAAAATGTAGTTCTATTTAATTGCTCCTAATGTATGTCTATTTCATTTTCACTTCATACACTATATACAGCAGCGGAAGTGGGTCTTTCTTTTTTCTTTTTGACAAAGATCTCCTATTTAATATCACGTCCCTCCAAAGTGTCTGTAAAATTCATAATTGATTGGTTCCACAATTCCCTCAACCCATGATATGCGACCTCACAACACTCAAAAAACAGCAGCCTTATGCAACCTGCAAAATAGAGTATATATACAAATATATATAAATAGTTAATCAATATACTCTCAATATGGTCAGTGAGACATGCAGTATAACTTCCTTACAACACTGAAACCTCTATGAAATGGTTTAACACTCATAACAGCTCCTTGTAACCTGCACAATAAACTAAACATTTGGAAACACTCAATATATCTTCACAACCACCCAACCCACATTTAATGAACTCCCATCCCTCATTTCTTTGCCCAAATGATTAGGGTTATTCTTCAATATTGAATCTGACAGTTTCTATATATCAAGGAACCACCTGTCACCTAGATGGCTTTTTAGGTTAGAAACAGATAACATACGAAATCTTACCGTATCAATAATATGCTTGACAACCAGTTCCTCAGGGAGGAATTCATCATCAAATAAGTGACGGCATTTTTTTTTTCAAAATCCCTTTGTTAGAATAGTATATGATATCAAAGGAGCTCCTAGTTTCAGGCTAGGCATGAGAGGATATTCAAAACTTTTATATTGGTGTTACTTCTATTTATTCATTTTTTCTTTTCATTTAGAAAATATTTGGGTAAATTATAAATTCACTCCTTGTGGTTATGGAAAATGCATCCTGCCCCTCGAGGTTTTAAACCACATTACAATTTTCTTCTTCATAAAGACAGCTGTTAGGTCAACTAACAAAATTGGATGATGTCAACAATTTTTTTTTTTTTTCAAAATATCTATTTTACCCATAGCTCTTATCGCTCTGTCTTTTTCCTATTCTCTTTGTTTCTTAGCCACATCTCCCTAGATAATCCAATGACTTTTTTATATAATTTTTATTTTATACACTCACTTATACATTTTTATACAACTCTGCCAATGATTGAAAATTGCAAATGCAATGTATAGCCCCCACCACCATTGTCCCATCTCTTGGCTTATGTTTACTTCTAGGTTGACAATTTGTTGGTTATGGCAATTGGTTAGTTTTATATACTCCTTAGATTCTCAGAAGCCAGGTGGAATATTTACAGTGGTCATGATGGCTCAAACACACTTTTTTGGGTCTTCAGTCCAAGTTTTAGTAAATTTAGATAGATTATGCCTATCAAATTCTTAGTTTCCAAATAGGAATAGTTTAGGAGCTCTTAAAAGTCCATGTATAGTTAGACGCAATCCTATGTGAATCTATGTGTGCTACCCAATTTATACTTCTACTTCTCTACTGCAATGAGTTAGCATTTAAACCCCCAAAACCATATCTACCTCATCATTTCTCCTAACCCTAAATCATATTTTACCAACCTTAAACCTTTCCTTTTAAATCCTTCAACTCTAAGCACTACACACCATTGAAATCAACTGCTTATTAATATTCATAACCGTACTTTCACAATTCCAATCCCTTGCCTCTTTTTGTAAAATCATAGCCCTAAACTCTTCCCCTTCTCTTGTATCCAAACGAACCCTTAAACTCTATTGTTTTGCCCACTAGTTGCAACAAAATCTTAGCATAATCAGTCTCTAAAAAACTTTTCTCATCACTGCCCAACATCAATTTTTTTGGCATCAGAATTGTTAAAATCTGCCTCTGCCCTGCTCATACTTCATACATCAAATGGTTAGTAAGTTCATCATGTCAATGTGCAGCTTATGATGTGATAAGGACGGACTGTTGATCCTAATGTAGGTGTTGCCTTGTTAACATTGATAAACATTAATCTAAATATAGTAATACATAATTATAGTACTTTTCAACAAACTTTAGTACCTTAAAGCAGATAGAACATAAACACCAGAAACTCTTAACAATTTGATGCTGCCAAAAATAAGAGACCAACTAATTGAAGAGCTTCATTTATCAAACTTACCTCAAACCAAAAACCAATTACAGAGGAACATGAAGGATTTGTTTCTTAAACAATTGGAATTTGTTTTTAAATAATAACAGATGCTTGTATGATTAACAGCTAGAGAAGTGTTCAATATTAACAGAGGGCAAAAGCTTAAAAGCATAGAACATGATTTTTTACATTAAATAAATATACGTACAGCAGCTACATCCATAATTTATCAATCAAAGCGCATCAAATGTAAACCTAGTTTCAGATGCTGAACTTATTTTCCTATAGTATACATAGAGGTATTAAATTAAATAGATGATAAGTGGCATAACAGAAAAAGACTCACATCCTAATCCATTTGTATGCTGGCATTATCAAGCGTTTTGTCCAAATCATTCATCAAGGCATGTTTTTCGCGGCCATAATAGTCCCAAATCCATACCTGTGCCAGAGGAAAATTTTGAATACTGTATTTGCTTCCGTTCATAGTTTATTATTTTGATTGATCATTGTATTCTCTATCATTTGCCTTAATTATGCTTCCGCCTCTTGGCCACAATATTTGAGAGACTTCAAAAAATTAAAATTGAATGATGCGTTTTGAAGTTTCCTAACCTATGCGTTATATTATTTGTTCCATATATCACAAGATGGTTTATAATGGACTTGGAAGATTCTCTTTCTCATAGTATGTTGTGGACTTGAATATAATTTGTTGGACATTACATGTATTTTATCTGTGTACACATTTGAATGGAATATATTACTTATTCAAGAAAATAAATTAGTGATTGGGGTTTTTTTGAGAAAATAATATACTAGTAATCATAGACAAGAGTCATGACTCAAATAAACAACACATATTGCTAACACCTTGAAATATTTTTCAAATGAAACAATGCGAGAGGGTAAAGATGACGAAGAAGATAAAGAACTTGACATACTTGATGATGATATGGATCATGATATGGATCCTAATATAGATTATGATATGTAGTTTTGGTTTTGTGTTTTCTATATGGACATATTTTTTTTATGCATTACATGCTTATGTAATATTTTGCTTTGTCTCTTCAAGTAAATATTTTGCTTCATATTTAACCAGGTTTTCTAGCGAAACAGAAGCTAACAAATTACAAAAAGGAAAGAAATAAGACAATCAAGAAGAATAATAAGAAAATCAATACTATACAAGTGAAGCGTATAGCAGCTTCTTTGATGGGTTCTACTCAGCCCAATCATGTCAATAAGAGGGGAAAGAATATTAGGGTTGAGGTAGATTACGATGAGTACATACCGTCAGATCATAGGGATGATACTGATGATGAGTCATTTAAAAGTGTTGACGATGAGGTACTAAATGTACGATATCTAATTTTTTTTATTATGTCTCGTAACTATATATTCGTTAATGATGCTTTGTTAATTCTATGTTTATATATCCATGTACATATCTTTACATATCCATTGTTATGTATTTGTTTTTTATGCTTTTGTATTATGTTTTTCATGGCTTACCAATGCCACCAAAATGATTGGCGCAGTCATCTCTTATAGGACAGAAACATGAAATTCAAGCACAAAAAGAGGAAATTCAAGCACAAAGCAATGTGGTAGCGAAGATGAATGAGACGAGGGAGGAGCATTTGAAGATGACATCAAGCGTCATGGAGTTTCTTAAAAAACAAGGTTTCAATAAACAATTTAGAGGAGGCATCTCATGAACTCATAGATCACCTTTTTGGTAAGTCTATCTTATTTTATCTTTTCATTTTTCTCATATTTGTTAGTATATACTGGTTAAAGCATAGCAGTTTAAGAAAGTCAACCTCTCCTATCCACTTATAGTTGTAGTCATATCAAATGTTGTAGATCCAATTGGAATCAACAGTAACAAGCTAATGTGTGAGCCTATAACATCATCTGATCCAAGATTTTTAGCATCAAAATTGCAGTATTGCCACATTGAACATTGTTTTTTTGTGTATGTTGAAGATGGATCATATTAATAGAAATCACTTAGCATACCTACTGTTGTCTGGTCCTATTTCATATTAATAGAAATCACTTAGCATACCTACAAGGGACAAACCTTCCAATGGGGTCCTACAAATTTTGGTTATTTAAGTTGATGACAATACCTCCAGATGGTGGGAGTTTGGCTGGCTAATTATTGGTTTCACACTTGGGTAGGGTATCCTAGGAGGCATCATAAAAATAAAGACATTGATCATTGCTTGCAATTTTCAGTTGGTAGCATTTTTCCCCCCTTCTCTGTTTTTTTGTAGCATACATTTACATACCGTAAAAGGTTGTTTTATTAAATAATATATATACTCATGTTATTTCTATATCTCCTGTAATATTTTACATACTCTATACAATTCCAAACATCATTACAAATTCGTTTCTTATTCTGTAGAATACAAATTACATTGCAAATTCTAACATATATACACTGTTAGTTTTGAAGCTAAATTCTCAAGTAATTTAGATTTCCTTTACAAAGAGAAATACAAATAGCATGACCTCATCCTAAAAACTAAATACAAACAAGATCCCCTAAATACCAGCAAGTTACCAAAAGATATCACATATTTGTCTTGCATAATTTAGAGACTTGCAAGCTTTCAATTGTAATAAACCTTCTACTTCTGGATGTTTAGTAAGATCTACTCCTAACTATCCTTCCTGTACATCCTTGATAATATTTTCCTTGTTTATTTTCTTTGCAGATTGGTTTTTGGTGACGTTTGGAAGCATACTTGCAAATCAAGATCAAGTGTTGAATTTTATTTTATTTTATTTTTTGAATTGATACATAGTTCTAGTTGTAAATCAAGATCAAATGTTGATTTTTTTTTTTTGTGGACATCACGTTGGTTCATTTTGGGATTTGCTATAATGGTTTTCAAGGATATATTTTGATTTATAATATAAATTGTTTAGCGAATTTTTTTTGTGGAGTGGTGTATATTAGCTAGTGAATTTCTTAGTACATTTAGAAGACGATTGGTATATGACCAAGCATATTTCTGAAATAATAATTTAAAATGAAATATAAATATGGAACAAGTTTAGTGACGGATTTTTTCGTCATCTATACTTGTTATTATGACAAAGTGATTATTCGTCGCTAATAAATATTTTTTATGACAAAATTTATCGCAGCTTATATATGAAAGTTTTCATTGATTTTGTTGTTTGGTGACTAAAAATTTTGATAACGTATACATATTTTTGTTACGAAATATATTTCGTCACCCATGTCTGATTTTTGGAGACAAAAAATTTCGTCAACTTTACATTTTACTGTGATGAAATTATTTCCTCATCAATGATCAACATGTGTGACAAATTTATTCATCAACTAAAATTATAAATATGGTATTGAATAACTATTTGGTGACGGAAATGAGGATTTTTGGCGACAAAATGTTGTCTTATTGGTGACAAAATTTTTCGTCACTATATTTATTTCATTGGTGACGAAATTATTTTTCCTCACGGTGATTTTTAGTGACAAACATTCAATGACGAAACCGGTGAGGAAAATATTTCCTCACAAATATCTGTAGTGACGAAATTAGCTCTTTGGAGACAAAAAAAAAAAAAAAAATCATCATTCAAGACCTAACTTGTTGTAGTGTATATCAGTTTGCAGTAGAGGGTTTTTGTATCACTTTTTGCATCTCTTTCCACTCAAAACCCTAATTCGGCACCTTCTCTCTCGAAGATTCTCTCACTCTCTCTCTCTCTACAAATACTCCTAGATCTAAGTATCTCTCAACCCTAGTTCCTTTGTTAAAGTGTTGTTATAGCGATCCCGGGTTTACCCTTGTTGTACAGTGATCCGGACATGTGTCCGTGGATGTTGGTAGTTGTTTATTATCTTGTTTGTATCCTCTCTACTTTGTATATTGAGTTAAAGGATGTGTTGGGCAGGTTTGTTACAGGTTGGTGGTGTTTGGGAGCCTAGTATTGCTGCCCAAATTTTTGGCCATTCGCTCGAGCCAGGAGTTTGTCGCTCGAGCGAGAGTTGAGTTGTGTCTGGTGGGTCGAGCCAGAGTGGCTCGGTCGAGCCAGAGTGGCTCGCTGGTTCTGGACCTGAGAGTTGCCTTTCTTGGCTCGAGCGAGCTTCCTTCGCTCGAGCGGTCTGGGTTTTTCTTCGCTCGATTGAGAGTTCCTTGGCTCGAGCAAGAGTTTTCTGTGTCTGGTCACTCGAGCGACGAAGTCTTCGCTCGAGCGAGCGTGTTTTATATCAGCGGACAGTAGCGATTTTAAACATCACTTTTTCACTTCATTCTTCTTTCAAACCCTTAATCCGAGCCTCTCTCTCTCTACACTTACACTCTCTCTGAGATTTGATCTCCCTAGAGTGTGATTCTAGCCTAGGGCCTTTGTTAAAAAGATAGAGGGCGTTAAGAGCTTCGATTTAATCTGAAAAAGTTTGGATTTGGAGCAAGTGGATCTTCGAATCTTCATCTCCTTTTGGGCTTAAACTTTGAGGTAGGGATATCCTACTCCTCTCTATGGATTTTGTCTTTAAATTTTGGTATTTTGAGATGTTGGGGTTGGTTTGGTAATTTTGTGAAAGTTTGGGGCTTTTGTGCAATTTTACAAAAGTTGGGGGTTTTATTCATAATAAACCTAAATGCATGTTTGGCATAGAGAAATGGTATAAATGTTGAATCATTAATGAAAATGGGACCTAAGGGTTGAAATGTTAATTATGGAATTGACCTAATTACATTGTTTAATTAATTGAGAAGAATGAGGAAATGAAATGTTGATTGAATATCCATTGTGCATTTATTTTCTGTTTAGAAATAACTGCTTTGGGCTATCGGTGGAGGATAGTCGTGATTGTTGTAGACAATGCATGATGATTAGGCAAACTGAAACTAATCAACGGAATGTGTCATGGAACTTGACGGTTGACAGAATACATTAATTATATGTATTGAATGATTGTATATAGAACCATTGTGTTTGTATACGTTATGTGTAGATGAGGAGAAAGGGGATGTACTCCGCGGTTTAGGGAAAGATAGGGGATGTACCTCTAAACCGGTTAGTGTTGGGAGAAGATAGGGGATGAACTCCGTAGATACAGCTCATATGCTTATCTAAAGAAGTGAAGATAGAGCTTATATGATTATCTTTGTGATGTGTGGATATAGCTCATATGCTTATCTGTGGATATTGTTGTTATGCATATCTGTTGAGAATGTGGATATAGCTTATATGCTTATCTGAATGTGGATATAGTTTTATACATATCTGTGGAAATGATGATAGAGCTAGCATGCTTATCTGTTGAAAAAGAGAATAAAAGGAAACTTGGACTCATAAGTCATGACATAAACATGTGATTTATGTGATTGTAACAGTGTTGGCCATCTATCAATTGCTAATATTTTAGTCATTGTTCATGGTGGTTTGTGTATTTCTACTGGGCTGTGGCTCACCCTATATGGGAATATCATTTTCAGGTGCAGGTAGCATGCCACCTCCAAGGACATAGCTTGGGAGGCTAGGCGGGCACACTTTTGTTGCTTTACTTTTGATGTATTACATGTAACTTCAAGCCAAGGGCTTAATGTGTAAACGAGTTAGTACTCTTTTGTTGTAACCAAGTGTTAACTTGGAAAGCTGTAAGCCCGTAGGGCATTTTGTTTT